GTGATGCAAGAATTAAGACATTTTCATGCAATGAATTCTGACCATATTGTCTATTCAGTACCTAGATCCAATATGAAAAAGTACACTTTCAACATTTAATTACTCGTCAATGCCACAACTGAAGTAAGTCCACGAAGGACAAGCTTTACTCGAGAAATTAAACATGCTGGAACTGATGTATGGTAAAATGCTGAAGTGGGAAATTAAAAATGTTGCATAGTTTTTAAGCGACATCTCAAGTTAAATTGATCTACAAAGGCTGCAACTTCATGGAGTACAAGTTATCCCAAGTTTTATACCCACAAAATTAAGGTAAATACAAACGTTCCGGCTGCGTACGATGGCAAAGCATCGGGTAATGGGCGCAAAATACTGGTTCAATTCATTGTCTCGAGCACTTCTCTCTTACTTCTTTGTACAATTAGAAATGGAATGGATAGTGTCCATGCTCTAATTTAAAAACTTATCATCTAACCTGATGATTTTGTACATTTTGCATCCTTGAAATATAGCTAGCACCTGAATATTGTGAATGTACCACCCCTGTCACTTCCCAGCAGTGATTGGTTAGTCGTTTACGCATTATTCATTGATTGGCCAGAGGATCCAGCATGCTGACCAATTGTAGGAGAGGTATTTAGAGCTAGTTAGACAGAGAAACCACAGAATTGCTAATTGACAGTGCGGAAGTATCGATACGCTGCTTACGATACGTTGTCCCATTTTCTACTACTGCTGCTTCCGATAAAAGTTACATCGTAACAAACCTCTTTGTGCACGCAGTGTAACGTAACATGGTCGGCTTATATCAAAATAGCAACAATCAAATTCCGGGTACAACGTCTCAAGACATCCAAATACACACACCACTAATGAACTCTCGTAACAGTAACAGCGAGAATGTATCGAATTCTCATTATTCAGCGGTGGATGACTTTCCACTGGCTCAATCCACTCTTGAGTTCTGCGGCGGGGGTCAGACAAGCTCCATTCACTCCAGCGAATATGCTTATCAACAATCCGTCTACTTTCGGCCCCTTGAAACCGAGGCCTTCTCGGCTGATGTCACCGCTTCCTACTCAACTGCCACACCAATGAGCACTTCCCATCCAAGCAGACTTGGTAGTCTCTTCAAATCCGTCTCCCTTCCGCATTCTTTTGAAGACTCGGAATCAGAGCGACTTTATAGTCATGAGTAAGTCCACTGTTTATCACATTCTAAACCGTTATTCTACCGATCGCATGAATTTACGTCTACCAAGTCCGCATTCAACAAGTTTATTCGACTTCTTAAGTAAACGATTGCACAGATGCATAACATTTGAAATGAAGCAAAACAAATGTTGTCAGACAAGAGTGTCGATGTCAAGCGGCTCAACTTAGTTAAATAGTCTTTTCTATCCTCTGAGCATTTGATTTATTGAGAAGGGTACCAATGTAATCACCGATATTTGAGCTTACATTCACTTTCGGGATTTTATTTGTGCATTAAAATGCTCTGATGCGCTCGATGAAATTGCTATTTTCATATTCTATAGGATCTGAGTGCCTACTTTTAATTGTACCGAAAATCAACAAAATCTATTTATATGCATTCAAAACCGTTATCAAAATGCGCGTGGCAGAATTTATGATCCAATTTAGTGAGCAAGTAGGCTGATTGTATTATAAGAATATCACTTATTGATCCTTCCTGATCATAATTAGATGTGAAATCGTTAATATCAAAGTTAGCTTGGCTCAACCATTTAATTTTGAGCATGGTGTTTTTATTTAGTATGATTTGCGGGCAGAATAGTGTGCATAAACCGTTGCCATCTCTCTCCTTCAATCCAATATATCCAACTTTGTGCTTGCCTGCTTCACAAAGACTGCCTTTTGAGGCAGTGCCACAGCAACTTCAACTGCACCAATCAGCACAAGGAACTCAGCTGCAGCAGATGCACAACTTCCATACCTCCAACAAGTATCGGTCTCAAAGCAGCCTGATTGGACTGCTGGGAAGCAGATGTCAAAAAACTTCGGGTTCTTCACTCTTGCCAAAAGACGACGATCCGAAACGCTTAAAAACAGAAGAAAGTTCCACCGACAACACAGTGCCTCGTTCCTCCTATATGTGTCGCAAATGCCGTGCCCATGGTCGGTTGATCGCAGTGCGCCAGCATAAACGTAATTGTCCCTACAAACACTGTAGTTGCTCTGTCTGCTCCCTAGTAAACTATGGCAGACACATAGTGGCACGTCAGATTGCCCTCTATCGAGATCAGAAAAATCACCACAACGAAGATTGCAGCGGGGGTGGGAAGATGCGAAACAGTGGTGCCAAGTCGTGCGCCGAAAAAACTGATCTGGATGACGAGGGCCCCCACTGCCGACGTTGCCGCAACCATGGAAAGACGAATCCATGGAAGGGCCACAAGAAAGTTTGCCCATTCTATTATTGTATCTGTCAGCAGTGCATTTTAATTACCCTACGAAAATCTAACGAAAAGAACCTGCGTAAGTTGAGCGGAAAGTAAAACATTCTACCTACGATTTAAAAGTAGTAACAATGTTCAATTTTTGTTCGCAGGAGAAGTGGTACAGGAATCCAATAAGGAATTGAGCTTAAAAGCACAGAAGAAGCAAGCAACCGAAGAAATTTCTTTTCCAACCCCATTTTACAGTAGGAAGGCAGTTAAACTTAGTCAACAGAAACAGACTATGAACGAACATCAAGAAATTCCGCTGACATATCCGGATGGATACGGAATAAGATGGAAGCCGCTTAGAGAGCATGGGGAAGGTACACCACATTCTAATAACATTATTTCCGACGGAGAAACAAGTTTATTACCACCTGATGCCATAACAATTACCCAACAAGATAATACTTTCTATAATTCGCGCGCTCATCAGGCAGCCGCTTTTGCAGCTGCAGCGGCTGCAGCTGTTGCTTTTCAGCAGGAAACAGCAGTTTCTTCCAATGATTCGGCAGTCGTGCTAAAAGAGGAAAGTCAGATTAGCTGCAGCAGTCAGCCGTTGGGACAATCAGGCTATTCATTGACAGATACATGGATTGGCGGTGACGAGGGAAAGTGCATTCGGTCATCGAAAGTCGTCGACAGCAGACCTCTGGAGGGATTCGCAGGGCACAATGGAATCAGTGGTTTCTGGCAAAGTCAATTCCATTCACTCAGAAATGACGATCAAAGTTGTGCAGGTGAGCATAGTCGCCGAGGTAAAATAAAAAGTCCTATTCTCTGATTTTGACACACAAAAGGTGACCCATTAACCAGCCGCAAACGCAGCAAAGCGATGCTCCTAACCATGTACGTTATTGACTTATGAAACGTGTGCCTGCATCAAAACGTGACCACTAAGCTTTGATTCTACATCCTTAACTTTACCGTTTCTACGTAACGTTGGTGGGTGGAAATCCACGAGTTATAAAATTCCCGCTAGGGATGCTAAATACACATTTGGCACGAATCATTGGCTCAAAACGTTGCACAAATGCAACTTCCAACATCTATCTAATAACCGCGCTTATAACACAAGGGAGATACAATCGTATAGTATCAGTAATCTTGAGTGAAATGAGCTAGATAGTAACCTATCTTGTGGGAACGAATTAGTACGCTCATCCGAGGAAGGCGGAGTGACATCAGTATCTTGAAACTCATAATTTGACAGCTTCTAACGATACTTAAATGGCC